AAAAACAGAATCCGAAAATGGTTTCAAAATTAAGTGAATTTGGAAAGGCTCCATGAAAAATACGGATTCGAAATTCTGAATTACGCTTACCGAAACTTATAAGGAAGAGGCAGAAATCTGAATTTTTTTTTCTGGGAATTCAATTTGAAATCATAAGCAGGATAAACCCTAACAACCGAAACAAAGATCAATATTGTTCGATCTCATAGACTAAAAACCCTATGTGGGAAATTCAAAAACACGAAAGATAGAAACGGATTCGATTAGATCGTCTTCAACCCAGAAAACCCTAGAATTCAAAAGAGGGGTTTCACAGGGAATTGAAAAAGAAATTGAAAAAAAAATGTGAAGAAAATCGAATACCCAATCTGAAAACTGGTTGAGAATTGACACGAAATTAGGTAATCACCGGATCTGAGGATCCAATTTATACACAGCGTCTCAGAATCTTATTACATTCCATATTAAAAAAAAAAAATTATTTTGCATCAAAGGGCCATCCACGTCAGCAATTTAGCATCCAATATCTATTCACCACGTGTCTTATATATCATCGAGGTTTGTTCTTGTAACAAAGATAATCCATATACAAAACCCAGATAATGTTCTAATAAGCATGTAGAAATTAAAGAATTGCGGATATGAATCAAATTTTATCACCTAATCACTATCGTTGTATTATATCGTCAGATTTAAACCATTATTAACATTTAAGTTATTGAAGAAACTGTATTATACATGGCTTTTCTATACTTTGTTTATGCAGAAAAAGTATTCATACATTTTTTGTTGCTTGATCAAGAAAAACAAGTTGAGTTAACGATTGTCCATAAATCCTTCTCAAAATATCGAAACAGTAATCTATACAACCTGGAATAAAATAAGTATATATTTTTGTTCAATTGTCTTTTTTTAAATTATTAAATCCACACAACATATAAATAAACACGAGCACGTGGTCTTGACCACTTCGATTTTTTCCCCTGTTGGGTTCACAAAATATCGTTATGATACTGCCGAGTCGGTGAGTCCATCTCTCCATTCATCTGGCGCGTGGAGTAACAAATCCCTACGCGCGAGTGGAGTTGTTAATGGGTAACATCGAGGGTGATATACGCGTGTCATTTTTTTAAACAGTCCACGTCGGTCACTCTCGATATCTCATTAACATTTTTGGACTCTCTTCTCGATTTTAATAAAGAAAGATAAAGATAAAGACGCCGTGTTAATCAAAATTTTCCTGATTCGTTTTCTCGGGAAAATCGGCTATGATTCTGAGGAAAGTATGGGGATCGGTGTGGAACCGATCGAGTAGCGGCAAAGAATCGGTGACGAGTCATCGGACGATTCAGGTTCCTCTGTCGTCTTCGTCTTCTCTAGGTGCCTTCGATCAATTACCGATGGATATACTAGTTCAGATACTGATGATGGTGGAGCCAAGAGATGCTGTGAAATTGGGATTAACGTGCAAAGCCTGGAAATGTTTGGCTGGTGGTAATCGTCTCTGGATATTCTATCTCCAGTGTTCTCAAGAGCCATGGGACTCCATTTTCTTCGCCGAAACAAGTTTGCGTTCCGGTTATCCTCTCCGGTCAGTTTACGAATTTCTTGCTTCCTGTTTATTGGTTCGATCGAGGAAGAAAATCACTGTAGAATGATCGTTTAAGGTTGTAACTGTTTTGCAGAATGCTCTCTAGTCAATCAGGGGAATTGTCCTTCATGCGCATTTATGGTCAGAGAGCACAAGTTCCTGGTTCTGTAATCATTGATGGTAATGCTTCGTTTTCGTTGTTGTTCTGGATAATGAATTAATGAATAGTACTGTTGAAGTTTTTCATGTAATTGTGCTGTATGTAAGGTGGTTCTGGATATTGCAAGTTTGGGTGGAGTAAGTATGCTTCACCTTCTGGACGTTCTGCAACTTTTCTGGTGAGATACTCTGGGCTCTATAAAAGCAATTTACTGTTTCTTGTTACAAAGATGATAAGCTTGCCTTCTTCTCTCTTGTACACAAGATAGTTCTTACTAGTTTGATCGCCAGGAATTTGGCAACATCGAGTCACCAATATACGCTAGACTTCAACAGTTCTTTGCAACCATTTTCACCAGGTTTGTTTTGTCATTTTGTTCTAGTAATGATTTTAGCAATTGTAACTACGGGTTTGATTTTCCCCATTTCATGTGGATACCTTAGGGTTTCTTATGTGATAGTTTTCTTACAGGATGCAGGTAAAGCCCTCCATGCAGCCAATAGTGGTGTCACTGCCCCTCTGCCATTTTGATGGTTAGCTGCAGTTTCACTTGTTTATCTTCAGGATTACATCTCATGGTTCCAGTTTTAAGGTTTTACTAAATTTTGTTTTCAGATACTGAATCGGCCAAGGCATCAAGGCGGCAACTTAAGACTGCTATCCTTAATGTCTTGTTTGACATGAATGTTCCTGCAGTGTGTGCAGTTAATCAGGTGACACTTTGTTCACTCTTGAGAGCTTTCTGGTGATTATAGTTCCAAAATATTAGAGATCCATTCCTCATCTCTATAGACACATTTTTTTAACGGTTAAACCCAGTAAAAATAAATAAACGAATTTGGTGAGATAATGTTTTTTTTGGAATTGATACATTGTCTCACCATTAACTGGAGATAGTTTAACTAAGGCTATGAAATCGTTGTCAAATGATTGGTTTTGCTACTATTACAGTCGTGGACAAGTTACAAATAACCTGTGCTGTATTTTTTCAGGCTATTTTGGCTCTATATACTGCACGACGGACATCTGGAATTGTTGTTAACATTGGCTTCCAAGTCATAACCATTCTTCCAAGTAAGCTCTGTTCTTTCTCCATGATTCAACTCTTTTTGTATCCTCTCAGATGTTGTTTAACGACATGGTGACCTTTCTAGCTTTATTCACCTTTGATGTGAAACTGAAGTTGATTAGTTGTGTGAAAAGGATGATAATGTGAACATTTCAATTTCTTGAAAATTTCTTTGCTTATCCCTTTGATTCTTGCTGCCCCATTCGCTACCATCTTAGCAATTTACTTTTGCTGGGTGTTCTGCAGTTTTGCATGGCAGGGTGATGCGCCAGGTAGGTGTAGAAGTCATTGGTTTTGGAGCATTGAAACTCACTGGCTTCCTTAAGGAGAAGATGCAAGAGAACAACATTGCCTTTCAATCACTCTACACTGTTCGTACTCTAAAGGAGGTACTACTATTGACCAATCTGTTCCATGTAGTAAATAACTACCTAGGTTTCTGTCTAAATGGCTATTATGTAAATCAAAGTAGGTTTCCTCGCCTGGATGGCTATAAAATTCATATACTATATACCATACAAACCCTCAAACCTGATGTGTTCAATGCGCCTTGTGATCTCCAACCAATTTTGTATGGTCATCGAAATACCCTGAAAAGGCTCTGAATATGTGCAACTCAGGCAGAGACATACCGTCGTAGCATATTATATTGAAAGTTACTGAATATGCTTTTGTATTCAATTGATTTATATGATGCTTTTGTGTTATGCAAACGTAGAACCTGTGTTATGTGGCTCTCGACTATAAAGCTGAACTTTCAAGAGACACACGAGCTTCAATGGAAGTTGCAGGTGAAGGATGGTTTACTCTGTCCAAGGAGCGTTTCCAAACAGGGGAAATATTATTCCAACCACGTCTTGCTGGGATGTAAGGCCTGCCCTACTTATTACTATTAGTGATTAAGAAATGTTTAATCTTGGAGGCTCTCTAAAAGATTCAATCTTTATTAGTTGTGTAACTAAAAAATGATATCATATGGCCATCCAGTATAGCGTGCAAACTTGTTTTCACCATGACTCTTATATTCCAATAACTTACATCGTCGTAATGCTATAGAGCTGCATGCATCTCAGGCGTGGGTTATTTTCCTGCGAGGAATCTCTATATTTTGGTCATTTTATATTTGGTTGGGTTTTTTTCATTGCCAAAACAGGCGTGCAATGAGTTTGCAGCAGGCAGTCGCGCTCTGTATGGACCACTGTGATGCAGCGGGACTTACAGGTGATGATAGCTGGTTTAAGACCGTAGTACTAACTGGAGGAGGCGCGTGTTTGCCAGGACTTGCAGGTACCAGTCATTTACCTCTTATTTTGTTCAATACTTCTTTTGTAATGCCATCGATTCGATCTAAAAGATATATATGTTGAACGCGCTTAAGGGTTTTTTGTTTGTGAGCTGTATCCAGAAAGGCTAGAGATAGAACTCCAAGACCACCTTTCTTCATCTATTTGCAATGGAGTCAGAGTAATCCCTCCTCCTTGTGGCGTGGACACAGCATGGCATGGGGCGAAGCTTATCAGTAACGTAAGTCTAACGTTATTTTGATATGCATTAGTCGTGAACCTGCTAAGTGATTGAACCTCTCTTTTAACTTCCATAGCTGTTCAATACCAACAGACTTCCATAGCTGTTCAATACCAACAGATTAATATCTGAAATCGACCATATTTGAACTTTGATAGTGTACACATTGGCCACGTTTGGTAAAATAAAAGTGTGTGAGATTCACTAAAAGATGCATAAACTCCCTGTTCCATAGTCCAATTCTACACCAAACATTTATTCAAAGCTTAGTATGTAGATTTTCATAGTCCTTTTTTTCAAGCCTCACACAAACTTACTACTATGCGCAGTTAAGCACCTTTCCTGGTCCTTGGTGTATCACAAAGAAGCAGTTCCGTCGCAAGCCTAGACTAAATCTCTGGTGAATCGCTCAGGCTATTCGGTTGGCGAGAGAGGCAGGTAACAGATGTTTGCAAATAGTTTTAAGGTAGCTTACATTGTCTTTTATATAAAGTCTGTATGTATAGTGTCGATTATTGTTGATTGTTACTCATAAAGCCATAGGTAACAAACAATGAGTGAAAAGTGAAAACCATGCTACATAAGTTTTTTACCTT